AACACCGACTCTCAGCCCTATGTTCCTTAAACGCTAAAAGGATTCCAAACTTTTGACCCCACCACTTCATACGTGCCGTTTAAAGGTGGCAACCCTTCCAACCCCGAAACGCCGAAGTGCAGGGTCGGGGCAACGCATCGGCCTCACAGCCGGCGGAGCAGGCTCGGGTTGTTTGGTCGTTGCTTTCTGGATGTTGCAAGTTTCTTCAGGAGGACAATACACACGGGATCCGAAGCCTGACGTCCCAAGAAAATCCCGAAGCCGGAAAGCCCTGGGCCCTCCCGTGAGCCCTGCTTTGGTCTGGCTTCCCAGTGGATTTTCTCCCTTTGTTAGCATCGAGATTGCAAAAACCTGAAGGGCCCCCCCCGGGGGTTTCCGGGTACAGTCCGGGGCCCGGGCCTTGCCCAGGCCATGGCAGCGCCGCCTGTGCTGACGCAGGCACGCCGTTGCAGTACGAAAAAAGGATCATAAAGGGACTTAGTAAATAGGATTAGAACTAAAGTAACTATATACTTATAGTTACTTATAACCCCAATTAGGGTACTTATAACCTTACTAAGTCCCATGATCCTCCAAGTACCCATGCAAGTGGGGCCGGGCGGTCAGGGCCGGGGGGCGAGGCTTCTTCTGACTCAGGTTCCCTTTGAGCAGATGCTTTCACAGCGGGTCATGATGAAAATCCACGATTTACAGTGTTGGGCACAGGATCTTGAACGTGGGATTTGGCAAAAGAGTTTGTTCCATTCCAATAGACCTTAAGTTTAGGCATTTTTCTCCAAGCTTCAGCTTGGGATGCCAGTAGCCAGCCGTTCACTTTCGGCTTAAGCCACAAGCCGGCGTGGTCTGACGAAGAAACGTACGATGGCCTGCAGTCCCGGGAGTCCTTCTCCTTCAGCCCTGAAAGAGGATGAAAGCGAGAGCTTCTAGAAGATAGGATCCTGTACATGGGTAGTCGTCAAAATGATGGCCCCTCTTTGGGTACCCTAAATATCAGGTGCCGTACTATAATATGGACCCAAAAGGGGGGCCCTAATTTCGACAACCACCCACATGAAGGCTCTTAAGCCCAGCCTGGAACTCGCGCATTATTTACACTCCGGGCCTTCTTTGATGGAGCTGCGGCCGAGCTCTGATCCCCTGAAGCCTAGGGCCCCGTGCCTCCGAACCCTAAACTCAAGCCCCAACCCGGGAAGTTTCGGCCGTCTAGGCCCCGAGATTTCCCCAGGCGCCGCAGAGCCCGCAAAAGAAAAAGAAAAATAGAAGCCGCGAGGCATCGCGGATCTATGTGGGGGCTTGGGGTCTTTAAAATTCAAGGTTATCATTCCCTTTTGCGTGCACGACTCACTTGAGTTTTCAGGGTACTCCGGCTAAGCTTGAGCAGGCTTTTGTACATTTCAAGGCATGAAGCTTGTGCTGGGATGCAGTCGGTTCAATTGGCAGGGTTGGGCTTTCTGCAGGACTTTGAGCGCTTTTCAGCCGTTAGTCGGTAACAGAACGCGGCTGCTATGATCTAGGCTTGCACTCATGTGCAAGCCAAAACCAGCAGGCCCCTACACCTTGGCTCCACGCCCCGATGCCTCGAAGACCGATTACGCCAAAACCCTAAACACGAACCCAAACCCGGGAGACAGCCCCTCAAGCATGGTTGACTTGAAAGTCTGTGCTACGTGGAGCGCCCTTGCATTGGTGTTTGGGATTCCGAATTCCATGGTTGCAAGAGGGTTCTATGGGCCCGGCTGGAAGGCTTGAAAAACTATAGGAACTGTAACCTGCAACCGAAAAGCTCACAAAAGCCCGCAGTCGTTAGAGACATGTTCAGTTTCTGTCACGGATCCAGGCTTCAGGTTCAGGTTCAAACAGGGATACAGGGTTGTCGAGTTCATCTCGGGTTGCACGGTTCAATTCCATGTAAGACTAGGGTAGCGCCAATCGCTGAACTCGGCCGAGCCCTGCACCTCAGCGTGTGAGGGCACCCGCTCGTAACCCTCCGGTCTCCCGCACAGCGCACGGCGCACAGGGCAGCAAATCTCGCGGAGGGACACCGCCCCATCCGCAGCAAGGCCCATGGCAGGGCCTCTGGGCGAGCAAGATGTCTGTAGGATTCCTGTTCACGCTCCGGCTGTTGTTGCTCACACCTTTCGGACATGATGTGGGTTAAAGAGATTCTGTCCAAACCGTACTCACAAGAGCATCAGCCTCAAGACTCACAGGTCACCTCTGAGAGTCCTCGTGTTTGGGCAGGTCAGTTGGACCTTCCTGCGTCGCCAGAGAAGTCCCGTGCTAAGCGTTCGGGTTTCAGCGTGCGGGGATGAGTGGAGGTTTTACTAGGCTTTAGAAGCTTTAAGACCTGGCGCAGGCTTGGACACATGCAAGGCTGTGGGCTTTCTTGGAAACAAAAGACTGTAGCCTTGAGACCAGAAGCGTTTGAGATGAAGGGATGCAGACGATGTCATTGGATGGTTGCTGCTATCAGGGGTGTGTTTGTTGTTACGAGTGGCATGCGGTTCTGACGGGTCATCAGTGCTCCTCTTGCATGTTTGCTACACTCGCGTTGATATGATCTACGGCTGATTTTTCAAAGATGCATAAAGATGTAAAGCGATCTGGAAGGCGGAGCACCAGACCTTGAGAGCAGAAAATCCGATGCCCAAAGCCCAAAATGTTTCCGTAATGTTGTTGCGTGCAGGTCTTAAACCGTTCTGGGATTTAGGGCCTGTGGATTCTAGTCCCTCAGCCAGTTCATGACAGACATGGACAGTCACAAGATGTTTGGGTGGTCGCATAATCACTGTGCCCACCATGCTAAACTTAAAACCCAACGGTTTCCGATTCCCATTCACCACAAGAACCCCGAACTCTGCACTCTGAATGCCGGACGATTTCTCGTCAACAGAAGCTGGGGCTCGAAGTTGGAAACCTCGCAAGGCCACTTACTCGCCGTAAATCCCCACACCCGAGAAAGTGCGAACGGGCCCGGACCCCAAGACTCTTCAAATCCCGAAGCCCAAGCTTTGAAGCCCTACAGCCTTGTAAACCCTGCTAGAGCTCCTTCAATGACGAAGTCCAAGTCCGATCGTCCCATCCGAGGCGCAAAGACTCCAAGGCCACCTACAAGGCAGCCCAGGCTCGCGCCGCGCCTCTGGGATTCAGGGTTTGGGAATCCGAGAGGTTCGGGTTTCGGGGGTTCAGGTTTGAGGGATTCAAGTTGGGGACCAGGTTTGGGGGGAGAGTGTTCCCGTTTTAAGGTTCCGGGCTATGGGGTTTACGGTTTTACTCTCATTGATTGGCGGTTTGGGTGTCATATGCTTCTGGCATGAGTTCAGGGTGTAGGGTGTGAAAGCTGGCCGCTGACCTGGAAAGATGCCTGGGCCAGGGGTTTCTGGAGTCTGTTTCGGGAGTTGGCTTGTGGTGGATACGGGTTCAGTGAGAATCATGTCAGTCAAGTTGCAAGTTCTTAATTCCCCTCGAAGCCCATTGAGCCCCCGGCAGTCTTTTATGTGTTGCAGCAAGATATCTGTTTGTGCAACTGCCGGGCACCTGATTTATCGCTGACAGTCTCCGATACCACGACCATGTTTCTTTAGCAGTGGTCCCGTCCCTGTGTGCACCGGGTGTGCAAGCTTACACCATGCCCACGCATTGAAACCAAAGCTGAGCCACCAAGGCTCAATCCCAAACAAGCCCCATCGTGGCCAACCTTGCAGCTGCTACCCCTCATAGCCTCCAAGCGTCTTCGGGCCAGGGATCTAAGGCCTGCGCCGCACTTCCAGCCTGGCTGTGTTCGGTCCAGGTATGATGAAACCTCACGTGTGTATACACAGGCACGCACAAACCCAAACAGTCCATGAAGGATAACAGGCAGGCCGTTGGGCGGGTAGGTAGATCGCTAGAGAAGTAGAGAAGCATCGGGAGATCTCTTTGGATGCAGACATGAGCCGTGACAGTAGCCCGGGGGGCACCGCGAGGAGCAGCTCCTGGGCATGGGTTTTCCCAAGCGCGACGTGAGGAATGCGCGCGAGCCTCGGGGGGTCACGGACCGGCGAGTCTCTTACCTTTCGGGGATGTGTTAAGGCCATCGAAGCCTTGTCGAGGTTGCATGAGGTTCTATGTTAGGAGCTTCAGAGTTTAATGTCTCAGGGTTGGGGGTCCAGGAGTTACGAGTTGCGGCTTCGAGTGGTTTTGGCTTTCGGGTTTGAAGGTTGCAGGGCTTCGTGCCAACATCCTTAAAAGCCCTCTCCCCTCATCCTGCGAGCTTTTAAACCCTAAACCCTCTGAGCCCTTGATTAGAGACCTTGAACCCCCGAACCGAAGGTCCTTGCTCGGCCCCAAAGGCCCCCAAAAGGCCCCCTTTCCCGAGCCGAGGCTGGCCCACGCCGGGGGCGAGTTCGAGCCGGCTCTGCAGATCCTTTTGGAGTCCTCCTTCGATGAGAAGGCCGGAGCCGGAGCCGCTGTAAGGGTGGTCCTAAGAGCGCGGCCCGCCGGGGGCGAGGGTGTGGAGGGCCTTTTAGGGCTTCGGGGACTTGTCAGGTTGTTTTATTCATAGGCTGTCTAGTTGTTTAACAGGAATAGGAAGGGTTCTCCGAAAGCGCTTACATCAGAAGTCGCTTAAACAGGAAATTTCCAGCAAAGCGTTTAGAACTCACGGTAGTAGGGCCGCCGGGTTTTCGGCGTTGCGCCTCTGGCGTCATGAGTTGCAGTCACAATCCAGGAGTGAAGGCAGTGCGTCCAGAGAATGTCCAGAGTTCATTGGGGCATGATTGGGAAAACAATTCGGCAAAGCCATTGAGGAACAACATGTTCAGGTGTGCCGCTTTCGTTTAAGTTATGTCGTAGGGTGCTGCCCGGTTGGTTGGTGGCAGTGGGGGATTTAATCTTCAATGTGTTTAGCGCTTACGTCGTTTCCTGCCGCTTTCTTCGAGAGATACAGTTGCATGATGCAAGGGGTCAGGTCGCTTGCGAGCAGGCTGTCAATGCTACTCCACTAACACTAACTGTCAAGCATGGACATCGCTCTCACTCGTCCACACAGTGTGGCAGGGTCCCCTGAGCCGATGGCTTCCGAAGCGAAGCCGGTCAAGAGGCGAAGATATGAACCGGATTTGACCATCGCCGTTGATGACGGGGAGCTGGAAGTACATTCACTCCTCTTGGTGATGACTTCTCCCGTCTTCGCGGGCATGCTGAACAGTCCTATGAAAGAGGGCCATGGCGAAAGAATCCAACTGCCGGGTAAATGCAAAAGCGAGTTGGAGGTGTTTTACAGATGTCTGGAGCCTTGCACAGTTCAGCCTCTAAGCCTGGACAGCGTTTCTTTCCTTATCCGCTGGGCGGATGAATACCAGGTCCAGGCTCTGAAAGACAAATGCGAAGCGTTTCTGATATCCAACGCAGCTGTTGACGGTCCTGGCCTGCAGTTTGCAGTGAAGTATGCCCTTCACGACCGCACGAAGCAGTGTCTCACCGCCATGAAGTCCAACGTGCAAGAGCACATCGAGGATCTGCGTGTGCTCACCGCCAAGGATTGTCAACAATACCTTCAGGAGTTCTGGCCCTTGATTGTCAGCAAAGCCGGATTGACCGCTGGGACCGTCGACCTGCCTCCTCCAGAGCATGTGGCAAGCATGTGGCCGTTTCTGGTCCAAGCTGTCCGCTACAAGACGCGAAGTGGGAGGGACCCATTTTGGTCCGTTATCCACGGGACTTTCGGCTAAAGTGGCAGTCTTCATGCTCAGGAGTTGTGCAGTTCTGCCTACAATCAGTTGGCAGTTGGCACAGATGCAGTACATCTCGCTTCGATTGAGGCAGCAGTGCACTTGAAAGCGTTGTTTGCAGAGTCAGTTTGGAAATGGCGCGGCGGTACTAGTACAGCAGCGACTACAACTACAATTACAACCACAACAACACCAACAACCGCTACTTCTACTACTGCTGCTGCTGCTGCTACTACTACTACTACTACTACTACTACTACTGCTGCTGCTGCTACTGCCACTCGAACAAGTACTCGTCCTCGCAGTCGTGCTTGTACTGGTACTATGTCGACGACGACTACCTACCACTACGACTCCCAGGCCTTCAACACACGTTGCAGCACACCAAGCACTGTTACAGATCGATTGGCCATGTCGGCTTTACCCCTCGGACCGAGAAGCCCTTGCCGTTCAAGGTTTCCTGCTTCTGGTGAAGCTTTGAAGATTCAGCGATTGGCTTGATGGTTTAGATGCTGTTGGGGTTAAACTTTGGGCTTCTGTACTTGGAGTGCTTCAGCTCAGGGTCCAAAATTTTTATGTGATTCCAACAGCCTCCCCCTAAGCCCAACAGTCCGAAACCCCAAACCTGACATAAGACCGAAGCGTATTCCATATCGTTACATATCACTCCCCACCCTACAGCTGTCAACAGCAGGGACCCAAAAAGCATCCCCCGAGACTAAAAACCCCATGTGCGGCTGTCGACGGCCACCCCTTTGTGGACCTAAAAGTCTGGGGATCCTTTAAAAGAAAAACCACCTAACAGGATCCCGAGTGTTTGAGATCCGAAGGCATCGCGGCAAGCGCCGCTGGGAACTCGGAAGAGCAAGGGAGAGCCTCCTGTCGGGTGATACAGGGCATTAGGGTCAGGTTTCTTAACAGAGCTAGATTTTCGCGACATGCCGCTGAAACCGGAACTAGGCCTACGCGGCTTCGAGTAATACCGTTTCATCTGTAGACTCCTACACACAATTCCAAAAGAGCGGCTCAGGGGAATCAGGAAGGGGGGAGTCACAGACCTTGGCCAGTGGATGTGGAGTGCAGGCAATGAGGAGGCACATCGTGCTACCTAGACGTGGTTGGAGCATGCGAGGGTGGGCGATGTCAACATCCATGGCCAGTCCTACCTACATAATCATTTCCCGGTGTTTGCCATCCAAAAACTGTAGAGTTGGGCTGCGGGGTTGTGATTGGTCGCAGGGCGCTGGGGTTTAGGTATTGCGGCTTCAGTACGGAGCCAACAGATTCCAGGTCTCTAAATCTTGGAAATAAAAATTCTGATGGAATCCTTGACAGCAGCATTAGAGAAACCCCAAACTCGAAGAAGCTCGCATTTAAGTTTTCAGGTAGCGGCTGCTTCCACCCGTTGGAGGTTTGCATTTGACGGTTTGCATGAGCTTATTTGCAGAAGCCCTTCACGGTAATTAGCCGTCGGGGATGATGGTTTAGATGGCTTGTCTTTTGGTTGTTTCTGAGGCTTGCAAAGCCTGCTAAGATACCCCGCAGGATGACCCAAAACAGGATCCTGTAGCCCGAAGCATTCGTTGTTTGCGGCGAAGGGGTGGTGGTTTTGTGTGTTGGATTGCTCGATCGAGTGTGTGGGCCAGAATAGCTCCAGCTGATGCGAAAGATGTTCGCTCGTTTGGCGGGAGTTGTGTTTAGGTGCGAGAAAGCACACCATCGACACATGCAGTTTTACGCACATGATGCTCGCCATGACGGGAGGTACAGAGAGTGTGTGGGCAACAAAGCCTCAGCCCATGTGGGTGCCTACACCACCGTGCTGATGCTCATGATGTTCGCCATCGTGGGCCGCGTTGTGCGCGAGAAGCTCCAGCTGATGCGCGTGATGTAGCGGCTGATGTGGATGACGATCGTCATGACGGGCAGTGTAGAGAATGTGTCGGAAAGCTTCACCAGAAGGGCATGAGCATATCACGGGAGGTGCGGTGAATGTATGCTGCTCCTGATGCTTGCTGTTGGGCGGGTGTAGTGGCCGGGTGAGGTACTGTAGCGCAGGGCCGACCGTTGGATGCGATGAGCATGATGCTTCTCATGTTGGTTTCGGGGTTCCTTGTGTTATCAGGCTGCGCAGCTAACTTGGAAGATTTGTTGGTGCCGACGGCACCTGAAAAACTTCAGATATTTCGCGTTTCGGATCTGGTGAATACCGCCTGACGGGTATAAGAAATGGAGGTTCGCAGTTCATCATGAGTGCCCCAGCCGCACAACTACATCATAAAGGGTAAGCTCGCAATCTTAAAAGCAGTACCGAGCGAACATCCCTTATGGAAGGCTGGAAGGCTCCCTCATTGAAACCCTGTTATAAACTAAAGGATACTCGCTAAGCCAATGATTACACTTCGAGTCTGGTGGCAGAGCGACATGTCGTTGTGGGGTTTCAGCTACTGGTCCGGAGGTGCCCGGACCTGCTAGGAAGTGGACAAACGTCTCACTTGTCCTATCCAGAGAGTGGAAACGTTCAAAGGACCGGAAGTACTCCCAGCCCTCCGGCCCGAAACACGAAATCCTCAAAGCCTAAGCCTGAGGCTAGAAACCCGTAGGCCCTGAAGCCCTAAACCCTAAACCCTTAAGACCCGAACCTGCCAGATCACTTGGGAAAGGTTGCCCCCGGCTTTGAATCCCTAGGCCGGCAGAAAGCCATGTAGAGGCCAGACAAGGAGTGGGACTGGTTGGCTTCTAGACCGATGTTATTCAGGTTTGTCATGGATTTCTGAAGGGTTCAGAGCTTCAGGGTTTACTGTCGAGGTCTCAGGGTAGGGTTCGCTCGAAAATTGCGTCCGCGATTGGCACTGATCTTTACTGGCCAGCCGGTAGCAGTGCCGGATGGCCACATCAGAGTTGAGCCTGCGCATTTCTGGTTTGAGTCACGGTTTGAGTGGTCATGGTTTACGAAGGGCATGTACCTTCCGTAGTAAGAAACTGATGCCGCATATGCGTTCAACCTGCAGATCCGAATTAGTCAACATGTATCCTCCAAACAATTGCGATGGTATCTTGTCCGTGCAGATCACTGCTCGTCAGATGTCCTTCCTACTAGGTCCTGACTCGTACATCCTTTATGGCTACAGATATTCGAAAAGTCCCCGGAAAGAGCATACCTTGGGTCCTCTTAGTTTCGGTTCGGCACCACGTTCTGTCGGGATTTCCGAGACATACTGTGACATAGTTCGCATACTTTGAGGCCTTGGGCTTGGGCAGTGCTTGCATCTTCCGAAGTTCTCACAGTTGCATTGAGCTCAGCCGCTGCGTGTCTGTTTAGTGTCTCTCGATCGTGGGCAGCTCGCAGCTTTATCTTTTCCCGCGCAACACCATGCCTGAAGAATCCCCCGGAGCCCTACATCAGAAAGTCTGGCACGATGAAGCTAGTGCAATCCGAAGCCAGGTCCGGAAGGTCCGCGAGAAGTTCCCGAAGTCCTCATGCCTGAACCGTATTCGTTGTCCTAAAGCCTGCAATCCTCCAAGCTAAACGCAAAAATCTCGGTCCCTTTTAGCTGCCTTCAGCCTTCAGCCGTGCCCTTGTTCAATCGAGGCCTGTGGTTTCATCTATCATCCCCGCTGGGCATGAATCCAACACTCTGTCTGACTGTGGGGGATACGACCAACAACAGCAGTAGTGACAGCCATTCGCTGGTAGTAGAGAACAGCTATGATGACCATAAGACTGCTGCTACCATGACCCCTTCTAGTCACTAGTCCTCTTGCTTAGAGTTACAAAGTGGACGAAGAGGCTCATGTGGACAAGAACCCGAAGCGCCAACCCCCAAACCCTCGAATCCTAAACCCTATAGAAGTCCCGAAACCTGAAATCCAACCAAGCACTGAACCCGAAACCTGGCAGGACGAAGCAACGTGGTCGAAGCACCAGAAGTCTCGGAGCCTGTCGGCATCGCAGGCACGTCTGAACCGCAGAGCCCTAAGGCCTTGACCCCAGAATTCTTTTGCAGGTTTACACCTTTGTGGTCGTTGTTATCGTTGCTGACGCTGATGCTGATGATGATGATGAAGACGGTGCTGCTGTTGCTGCTGATGATGTTGATGCTGCTGATCATAATGACGTTGATGTCGATGTCACGGTTGCAGACGATGACCAGGAGGAATCGAGAGCTCTGCTAGCGGATTGAGCAGTCATAACATAATGCAAAACGTTGCATGTGGTGATCGTCATGATAGTACGTAGACGTCGTGACAATATCAGCGGGAGTGAATATTGGTTAATCGTTGTGGCAGTCCTTGCGAGCTTCCGCAGGTCTGTCCCCGAAATCTGCGCCGCAGTCTCCTTCGAAGCCTGGAGCTTAAAATGCACCAAAAGTGTTAAACCCGAAACCCTGCTTTCTGATTCGAGGCCGGCAAATTGTGCAAGTTAGGTTCGTGGGTACAGCTTTTGGCCCTAAGGGGGTTGAATCTGTATGTGAGGCTGTGCGCATTTTATCATGCAAGGTCATGTTCTATCGAGGAGAAAGTCCTAAGCTGATGTTTTTCCTTCATTTGTGCCTGGTCATTCTTCTAGATCCGTTTCTGTAAATCTGCATGCATGCAGGGTGTTTCGCGAGCCTCAGTAGGCCAGTAGAACCAGTCCTGATTAACCTCAAGACGAACATGGTAAGTTGCGTCCCACTTCAAGTTATACAGCACTGCACCTAAGCCCTCAACCCCGTAACCCCACTGAGTCCTGCAGTTGTGGTTTCCAGTTTGGCGTCGTCCTGTCTGCCACAAAATGCCAGGTCGAAGCATGCAGAGTTCAGGATTTGAGATCAAAATCCTGAGCCCTAAAACCCTGAACCCCTAACCGCGACGCCCTAGAGCCTAAAACCCCAAAGCCCTAAGCTTTCTTTAAGCCTTGAGCCATGAAACCTTCAATCCTAACCCTAAACCCTGATAATCCCAAATCCTAAATCCCAAAACCTACCAAAAGGAACAGTACTGAGCCACTCAGGGCC